TTTGAAAAAAGCCCGCAGCATACAACATTTTGTAATTTTTTTCATTAGCTTTTCGTGAAACGTTTAAAATAACAATTGAAATGCGCGTAGGGCATTCCAACCAATCCATGTTTTTCATTAATAATGCAATGTCTTTTTTTATTCCTATATAGAGCTGTCAGATGCTCTAAGGCCAAGACATATACTCCTCCTCTCTTTAGTAATAATTTTTTAATGTTTTATCGTATACGTCTATCCGTCACCGATTGGGAAATCACTTGCCACCTATATATATATATCAATCTTAAACCTTTTTTCGTTTAGAACTAAATTTGAAGGAACTTTTCGAGAAAAGTGCTGGCAACTACCACAAATACCACTGCACTTCTTTTTAACATTAAATGTACGCTCGGCTTTAAAAAGGAAATGTACGTATGTGCTGTCATAAGTTTTGCAACTGATGTTTTTCAAAAAAAAAAAAAAAGACAAAGAATCGTCTTTTAAGAAGAAGAAAATATTAAATATTAATAATAATTCTATAATTCTATACACAAGAATAATAATAGATAGGTAAGTTAAATTGTTTAAAGCAATTTTAGAGAAAATGCTTCACTTTTAGTGCAAAGACATAATAAAGATTTTGCAATTAATTTGTAAAATACACAAATTCCTTATAAAACACTTCCCCTATGCAGTATAAATTAACAAATTACTTAATAGTTAATTCAATGTTATTTACGTTCTATTTTTTCTTCTTTTTTTCTTTTTGTTATAATAATGATACGCTCCTAAAAGTATGCATACTTTTATTTCCTAAGTAAACAATAACATAGTGATTCTCAATCTATCAGAAAACAAAACGTTGGGCTTAAGAAAATTTATGGATTAATTAATATTTCATCTTCCAAGTAGCTATAGAATAGTGTGGGTCGACTTTTCTAAAAAAAAAGACTTTTCATGAGTGAAGTAATGAAATAGCAAATTTTTTTCTTGCTATTAGCATCTGGCAAATAGAAGGGATTAACTCGTTTAAGGCGAATATTACCTTTTCCATTTCAAAAAGCGGCTTATTAAGTGTTGCGAACCAGTTACCTCGCTCACAACGATTTTATGGTATGCTTCTGGTGGTATTTTTTATGCCAAATTCATATAACTGCACTTACGTAGAGAAAAAAAATGCGCCACAATTTTTGTGATTGCTCTAACTATTTTGTTATAGTCAAGTTCTACTCTTCAAGAATCTTTGCCCTTGTTGGTGACCAAAAAAAAAAAAGAAGGAAGACTAGTATATAAGAAATGATTATATAAAATCCTGTCGTTGAGTTATGGCGGTATATGGCTATAATGTTTTATTGTTCAAGATCATTGGATGCATAGCATAAAAAAACAAGGAAAATCTTTTCGTTATACTGGTAAAGTTTCCTAGAAACTTAAAGAGAGAGAGAGAATTCCATTCCATTCTAAATTTAATCCTAATTTTCAACATCGCTTTGGCGCTTTTTTTTTATTAAAAATATTATGGAAAATTACCGCTAATATATCGTCGTTTGTCTTTAGCAATTCGAATGACTAGATGTGTTCATAATTATATATGCAAACAAACATACATAGTTTTAATGCTGTATCGTAATAAATCCAGTTGAAATTAACCATAAATTTTGACTCAAATTTATTGCAAATTTAAAAAAAAAAAAAAAATTGTAAAAATATAAAAAAAAAAAAAAAAAAAAAAAAAAAATCAGCGAATGCAAAAGAAAAAAATTACACCTGACTAACATCGAATCATATACGCAGTCAAAATGACTGAATGACTAAAAAAGAAGGCTTAGTTTGGCTTAACTTCTCCTTAATTCATAATTTTTATAAAAAATAAAAAAAAGACAAGAAAAATATTCAAATGCCCTTTTATCGTCCTATATACAGAGAAAGCCAAGCTAAAAGATACTCCTTAAGAAGTTCAAAAGTGTATTCCCATTCAATATCAAGTTTATGATATCTGCCATGGATGGTGGGTCATAAGTCAAGGAATACAAAAATTATTTAATTCGGGACAAAACATCGCCTTATGAGATATATATAGGCCATGCACGTGCAATAGTTTTTTTTTATTTTTAATTCTAGCGAATTTATCGAGTGATCGAGAGGGACGGACAGAATAAATCGTCAATTAAGGTATTTTTAGACTTTGCAAATACGATGGCAAATTTAATAAACTTTAGTTTTTTCTCCGGCAATGGATGGACACAAGACAGACATACAAAGAAGAAAGAAAATTGAAATCAAGTAAAAAAAAAAAAGTACGAAAGTAAAAATAAAAACAAAAATGCATTTTTTTTTTTTTTCGGCTCTGTTTACCGCGATAGCTATCTATAAAGCACACACGATATTAATAATAACACATATATATATGACTAATCGCACTATTTTTGGTTAAATAACGCTGAGTATGCTGAATTTACCGAATGTGCACATATAATGATATAAATTTTTCGTTGTTGTTGTTGTTGTTGTTGTTGTGCGAAAAGAAGAAGAAAAGGGAAAAACAAAGTATCAAGTGTAAAAGAAAGTCTGACACGGTTTGTTTACGTTTTCAAATGTGCGTCTGTTGAAAAGTGAAAGAAAAAAAGTTGTGAAAAATATATTACGTATAACAAAAAATACGACAAAACTTATTAATGTTATTTTGCTGTGCTAGGCGCATACATAAAGAGACCAAAGTCTAAAAAAATTCTAAATGAAGAACTTTTTTTTTTTAATATAGATTTGCGTGACGCGTTAATAAAGAAAATGTCTGCAACTCGTATGTTATTGTATACATATATCATCGGGACGAAATTTTAAATGGGAACAATACACGTCTGTGTCAGTCAGTGAAGTGAAAAGTTAGTAGCGAACTTAATGGTTAACAGCTCTGCTATGAATCGTTGTGATTGTAGGTCAACATTAAATCTCGTAATTAATTGATCTTAGGAAATCTAAACAATAATGTACTTTACACATACACATCACACAATACATTTTGTTCGTTAAAATGTAACACAATAGTAAAGAGGTCCTATTCGCTTTCGAAATGAGTTCAAAACAAGCAAAAAAGGCCGGTCGCAACGTGGAGTAATCGATCAAGATAATCAATTGCTTATGGCTAAAGGATATTTCGGGAGTCGTCCATAGAGTATACGTGGGAATACCAACCTACTTGCATGAACTTTCAATGTGCCTGCAAAATTTAAGGCCGCAAACAGATGGACAGACAGACAGACATCGGATCGCGACTAACAATTCGATGGCCGCGGAAGTAAATCTCAAGTCTGATAGAGTTTTCGGTACAGTTAAGCACACGATCTAAATTATTCTCGACAACCTCTAAGACATATAGACGATAAGGAAATACATCATTCTTCAGCGCTATATATAAAAACTGTGTAAAATGTACGGCCGCGTAAGATTTTTGCCCCGGAAAAGCACAAAATCTAAACGCTATTCTTCAGTTTTCGAGTTAACTGAACTTTGCAAACTTCTAGTTGACAGACAATACATTTGTTGAATAGAGTGTCTAGAAATATATGCAACTCATGACCGCGGTATCGAATTGATTTTCCTGAACTATCAGCAACTTTATCATAAAATATTGCTATGTCTTTTGCTAAAGAACTATTAGTTAGTGTTTGAAATCCAGCCAGTCTTCCGACAATTTTTCGCTTCATCATTGATAACATTAAACAATTATTTCTCAATAGGTTGTCTGAATTTTGCGACGGACTATAACATTAGCATTTAGTAAGTAAAAAAAAAAAAAAAAAAAAACTATGACCGAGGTTCATTTTGACCTGCCTAGATAGGCAAACAAGGAAAGCTGTCTGGCGCATCTAATGCTGCGGAAGTTGAAGGCTAAAAACCGATTAACCTTCTCAGTTACAACTAAAGGCCGTTTAGAGCGAGAGCCAATAAGTTGTCGCTGTTAGTTAGTCGAGTCGTTCCTATTTGAAAATCCTTCCGATTCGATCATTTCAGTGAATGAATGTTCGTTCTGCGTTATTACCACTATGGAGCTGTTTAGCAGTTTAGTGCGACAGTCAATAAGTTGTCGCTGCTTTTGGGTGCTTCCCATTCGAAAATCCTTCAGATTCGATTATTTCAGCTAACAGCTATGTTCGTTCTGCTATTACTATTATGAGGCTGAAATTTTTGTAATAGACATGGGCGAAAACGTGGCTTCCTGCTATGCAGTCTGCGAAACAATGACTTTATGTTGTCGCGGAATCGAAACTTGAAAGATTCTCGTGTGACTACAACGGACTAATTATGATGAGTAAAAAAGGTCGCATAGACCATAACACTTCTTTATGGGAATGGTGGCTAAACACATTCAATTTGTTTTGTGAATAATGTATGTGTCTTTTAAGATTCAAAACCTTGTAAATTCTTAAGAATTGTCATAAAAATGAATTTTTTTTTTTTTTTTTTTTTAAATAAATAAATATTGTTTCCATTAATTAAGCATTCAAAAGCTGTTGTCGACAAATAATTAACCAGGCGTTGCTATATTCATTATTAAAAATATTCACGCCTTTTAGGTGTCAAATATAGGAAAAACATATTTTGAAAAGGAAAAACCTTACTTTGTATTCACATACATTCACATATTCACATAAATATGAATATAAACCAAAATCAGTTCAATAAACTTGGAATGTGTGTTGTTTAGTAGTACTAGAGACAGACAGAGAGAGAGAGAGAGAGAAGTTAGTGAAAAGAAAGAAAAAGAAAAAAAAGAAAAAAAAAAAAAAAAGAGTAAAAATTTTCAAGCAAAAAACAAACCTTTCGGAACATTTCAGCATTTCAGAATAGCATGCATTTTTTATATTGGTATTGGTATTGGTTTTTGCGCCATGTCTTCTCAGACATCATCGGATCATATAGGTTGAGCGACATTAGTTAAGCATATGGTATAACGCATATGGCACAATACACATATACACACACACACACACATACATAGTAGTAACATGAAAAGAATCTACCTCGTTGACTTGAAGGCCTAAAGCCGATTTCGACATTTGATTTGTTTGTGTGCTGTGTTGGAAAATCACGGATTTACTTTGTTTTAATGATGGTTGTTGTGGTTGTTCATAAATCGACGGAGATGATATTATTTGCATTCCTGATTGTTGCTGACACATTATACTCTTGGGCTGTTGATAATGTTGTTGTTGTTGTTGTTGTTGTTGGTGTTGTTGTGATTGCTGATATACATGCGTTTGGGTTTGATAATAATTTAAAGCGGAAGTCGAAGCCGATTGCATTAATGCATGGGGGACGTGAGGATGTTGCGCTTGTTGTTGCGTAACATTTAGCCCATAATTATAAGTCGTTGATGAAGCTCCACCACTAGTAACGATTTGATAGGGCGAAACACCTGACACGGGGGGTTGCTGATTCGATTTCGTTTGCGATTTTGTATACGTCGTGCCGCACGTATCAAAAGCTTGCAGAATTTTACGCTCCTGTTTACTATTACCATTGACCGAATATTGAGTTTTATAATTATGTGTAAGCAACTGTTGTTGTTGTTGCTGCTGCTGTTGCTGTTGCTGTTGCTTTTGTTGTGACTGTGTGATATGCATATGTAAACCTACGGGTCTTTGGACGACAGAAAAGGAAGCTGAATGCATTAAAGGATTGTTGTTGTCTACCTTGCGAGGATAAACAAAAGCAGCTGAGGTAGGTAAATTTTGTTGTTTCATGCAAGCCATTTCTTGTTGCTGGATCGAATTGTTGTATCTGTTGTTTTCTTTGTTTTGGCTTTTCTGCACATAATTTGCTATACCAATAGCAGCCGGCTTAAAAGTGGACATGTGATTACGTTGTTGCTGTTGTAGCAATTGCTGCTGCTGCTGCTGTTGTTGTTGTTGTTGTTGAAATTGTTGAAATTGTTGCAGTTTTTTCGCAACATTTGCTGTAGAACTCATGTGCTGTAGCCTTGCTCCTCCACCCAATTGATACACTTTTTGGTCATTCGTATTGCAGACAAGATTATTCCAATTTAAGAAGGTCTTCTTTGAAGGCTGATTATTTTGATGTTGTTCGTTTGTTTGTTTCGGCCTTTCTGCTAATAATAATTGTGGTTTTTGATACTCGGCCAAAGGAATTTGTGACGTAGAACTGGATTTTCCTATAGGAAAACTCTTCTTCGTATTGCTTTGTTGGCCGCCATTAATTAAAGAAACTGGTATCTGAGATACTACGGCGGTTAGATTTGCAGTCGGTGGTCCGTTATTATTAACTTTGATCGGTATTTGATTTTCATCGACCTTATCATTGTTGCTGGTTGTTTTCATTTCATTGACACTTGGCTTGGTTGGCTCGAGTTTCGCGTTCGTTTCGCGTTGGATTTCCGTTTTTGCATTTCTTACATTGCCAGCCAAATTATTCAAAGAGATCGTAGTTGACGGTATTGTTGTCGTTGTAGTCGTCGTTGCAGCCATCATTATCAATGACGTCGCAATTGGTTTTCTCATTATCAAATCATTAACAGATTTTTCTGTTTTGTCAACAACAACGTCCTTTTGACGTTTTGACATTTCTAAATTGGCACTGGCACTTGGTGTTTTAGAAATTTTATACCCACCCTCACCGCCTACCATCGCCGTCGCTGCACTCATCATGTTCGCGCCACTACCTACTAGCATAGATGATGTTAGTGCAGTATTGGCGGCGGTAGTGATTTGTTTAGTATCTGTTGCGGCGGGTATGTGAAACGATGACGTTAATTTTGTTAGCTGAGGCAAGGTAGTGCAACAGTTGGTTACCGTAACGCTATTACTGCTAATAGTACTATTGCTTTTCTCCGATTTCCGATCTAAAGAAGACGAGTCTGTATTCGCTATCAGTGAAGTTGTTGCCGTTTTCTTTGAAGTTTCCCCAGTTGGTTTTGCTTTTTTGTTCATTATTAATTCTTTTCGCGTATGAGAATCTTTATTATTGCGATTATTTTGTATTTGCTGCTGCTGCTGCTGTTGCTGTTGCTGTCGCTGTTTATGTTGTCTCAGCATCATCAACTCATCATTCAACGCCAACGTTCCTAAACGCTCATTACTTGATGTTGACGATGATAATAATAATAATGATGATGATGATGATGGTGATGATGATGTTGTTGTCGCCACCAAAGAAGTTGTCATTCCTATAGTCGGTTTATGGCTGCCACTGCTGGCAGATGACTCAGCCGGAATTGTAGCTAAATTTGTCTCCTGTTTTTGCAATTGCTGTTGCTTAACGTTGAACGGACTATATTTAGAAGCTCCATAAACATTTGAACTTGATAAACTCTTTAAGAGACCTCTTAAAGGATTTGAATTCATTGCAGTTGTGTCGTTTGCCGACGAAGATGCCGCTGATGATGATGACGCATATATCGATGTTGACATGTTGTTTACATTGTTCCCCGTGGCCATGATGTGATTTAAAGTTTTTTTACTGGCGACATTATTTTGATCTTTAATTTGATTTTGACTGAAATTTGGATGCATGAGAATAGCATTGTTTGATATGCTGCGACTCAAAGCTGGCAAATGCTTCATATAACAAGGTATATGAGTTTTACTGGATGACCGATTAAGACCTTCATATTCGGAAGTGTTATTTGAAAAGCCGGAATGATTATTATGCGGTAGATGTACATTTTTTTCGCCAGCTACATGAGACATAGACACACTCTTATTAAGGGCTACGGCATTGGGTTGAGGAGTTTGCGTCTGGGAGCTAACTTTGATTGGAACTTTGCTAATGAAGGTGTTGTTAACGGCACCGTTTACATTTGGATTTAATTCTTTGACATCGGCATTAGTCGGCGAAGACGGTTCATTACAAATTAATTTATAAAGATCTTCTTTCGTAACCGCTTGCCTCACCTTCATATCGAGTTGCGATAGTGAAGCATTTTTTTGCAATTTATTGGGCTTCTGATGATGCTTCTGTAGTTCTTTTTGTGCGGCCTCCGCTACGGTTGGATCAAAGATGGCAAGTTTCTTAGCTGTATGAGCATCGACTTTCAAAGGTTGACCTACGGTTGGATGGCAAATCTTTTCATAGTTCCACAAACTTTTCTTAGGTGCCTGATGTTTTTGCGACAAAACCAAATTCTCAGTCCAAAAGTCGTTGAGTATTTGCTTATTCAACGTTAGGATTGAGTCATTTTTTTCCTCAGTCAAGGGCTCATTATCAAAACAATGCGACTTATGGAGAACATTCATTGATTGCTGTTGCTGTTGTTGTTGCTGTTGTTGTTGTTGCTGTTGATGATGCGCACTACTACCCATACTAGAACTGGAAATGCTTCGTTGCAACTTCGGTGCCTGCGTGAAGATCGAAGGATAAATTATGCGTATTTGTCCTGAGTTATTATGAGTTGAAGTGCTTCCATTGATAGCAAGAGGGAAAGCGGGCTGCGGTTGTAAATTTGCTGAAAATGATTTGGAAAGGTTGGCGTTATCTCCGGCATCGGGACAAGCTTTTAATATAGACTTTGGTGAAGAGTGCGGCACATTATGTTGCGAACAAGATTTACTTAGTGGCGTCTGACGCTTTTTCAAACGATCGTAGAGATCCTCGCATTCTTGAAATTCTTGATGTATTTTACGATCTAATTCGCTATAGTCCGGCAAGCTTTTCAAATATTTATTCATCATTTCAATTTCGGCATCGTACAGACTCGCATCCATTTTAGTCGCATTTTGCATAGCATACGTTTTCTCTTGCAATTCCTTTTGCTGAGCGATCAATTTATCTAAATCGATTTCGGATACCTGTTCATTCTTAGAGCATTTAGTAGGCAGAGAGTTGTTCGTCGAGGGGACGTAAGCTTTCATATCTTTAGCCGAAATATCACAATTTTTTGAGTGATTGTTGTGCAACGGCAAAGGCGAACCGCTTAGAATGCAATTCACGTTTGTGTTGGAGCCAACCTTGGATAGTCTCAGGGGTAGAGGAGGTGGGGGCGGAGACGACGATGGCGACGATGTAGAGGATGATAACGAAAGACTTGAAGCCGGACTAGAAGCTATAGCCGCCATCGTACGTGCTGGCACTGGTGGTACGGCCATAGGCGACGTTACTATTCCCGTACTCGCATTATATGCCAGGGGGTAATGTTTTCTGGGCAGAGGCGGAGTTGATTTTGGGCTTACCGGGGGCAGACCACGATTCTTACGTCCCGACAAAGGCGAAGATATAGGAGATCGTAGACCGGTTTTTGTTTCGGCCTTACATGAACTCATGACTGTGGCGAGTTGCGGCGATACCATTTGAAAAAATTGCTGTTGCTGTTGAGCGGCGTTTGATTTAGACATAATTTCAGTTGTATTTGTCACCCCAGTTTTGTAATGCAATCCCGAACCAGGTGTCTTGTTATCAGATCGGTTACTGTGGGCGTTCGAAAGTTTTTTTGACTTTCCGTTCTGATTATTAAACTCATTTCCATTCATTTGGTGTTCAATGCAAATGCGAATCTTTTTGCTTTCAGATTAAATTTGTAATTTTTTTTAGTCTTCGGAAATTGATTAAAAAAAAAAAAAAAAAAAATTTGTTGTTGTACCATGAAATGATTATCAAAGGAACATTTGAGAAAATAACTTTCGTGTCGCATACGCGTAAAATCTCTTCTCGAGTATCTTTTAAATAAATAAATTTGACCATAAATTCCTCATCAATCAAACAAAGCAAATTCTTTTCCTTTCACAAAACATAAAAATTGACAGTTTCATCATTGAACGCACAAACAACACAAATGAACTCTGTGACGCCACGAACAAATAAAAGGTTAACATACCAATCACCAACCTTTAAGTACTGCTCCGGTATTTTGCCGTTCTTCGGGATTATAAACTTTTTAATAATAATAATTTTATCACCTTCGATTTTTTGTATAGTAATTGGTACACCGGGTTGAGGACGTTGCGGTTTATATAAGGTTTGTGGGGGAGGATGCACGGGTCGGGCACCTGCCTGCGGCCCAGTTAAAATACCACCCGGATTGGGTTTAGCTGCGACGGTGGCGGATTTTTGTAAGGGCGCCGGTTTCGGTTTCGATGCTGAACTTGTCGGTTTATGATCTTTGCCATCGCTGCGAACAATCGATAAATGATATAGGGGTTGATCGTCGTCTAGTATACTTTTTTGAGGAACAACTTTACGTTCGACTTTACGCAAAACTACACCCAACATTGGCGCTTCGTTCTTTTTTACCACGATATGAGTGCGTGGCGGTGTCACTTTTTTCAAATTGACACCTAAACTAACGCCTACGGGCGGTGGGGTTTTTGTGCGATGCACTAATTTCCCAGTCGGAATTTGCCGGTGTAAAGTGTCTTCAACAATTTTGTTTACATCATCTTTTGAAAGATTGTCCTTATTGAGCAAATCATCGGCGTCCTCTTCCTTTAGTGGTGCTATAGGAATCGAATGCAAGACGGGTTCCGGTGCTATAAGAGGTGAAGGTCCTGGAAACATATCACTTAAGCTGCTTTTGCGTCTCTCCATATTTGGCACTGAGGTTGTTTTGCTCAACGGAAATGCTGCCGGCGTAGTAGGAACACTTGAAACAGAGCATTCAGTCGTTAATTCGCTGGCATTGCTGCTGCGTCGACTTGAGGTTTTGCTAGCGTTAAGCGCAGTCGAGCCGATACTACTTATGCTTGAGCTATGTAGACGATCTGGTGCCGGGCTACGTTCATGTTGCAAACGTCGTTCATCCGGAGAAAATGAGCGTGAAGGTCGATTACGTTCCAGCTCTCGACTTGCCTCACGTTCTCTGCGTTGCTTGCGTAATAATTCAATAGAATCAATTATTGAACGACTTTTTGCGGTTCCGAGTGCATTCAGCGAACTTTTCGAACCATAACGTTCATCATCGTTAACATCAGCATTTAGATTATGTCTCTCATTTGTGGTGCTGCGACCTTTAACGCTTACATTTTCCTGCGAATAATGTTCCAATTGCGGTTTTAACGATAACGTCGAAGCAACAGAATGAGCATATTCGTCATCGGATAATGATGTATTTGAAGTTTTTATTAATGATTTGTTGTTGTCATTTTCTTTGCTTAAGCTCAAAAAATGCTTCTCCATACCGTCATCTAGCACGCTGGGTAACGATGTGATACGATCACGGGGTGCCGGCGAGGTTGGTAAACGTTTTACTTTTGTGTTCAAATAAATCTCACCGGGACTGGGCGAGCGTGAGACGTTAGACAATGAATCATCTTCGCCGGATGCGTGGCCCGAGCTAACAGTTGAATAATCTTTCTTTTGCTCAGTTAATCGAGAAGGCGATTGCGACGTAGCCGACGTAGCCGAAATCGCGACGCTGGCAGAGCTACTCGAATTTGTTGATTCATCATTTATTCCATCAACCTTACCTATAATGACTTTGATCTTTGCGGCTGCTGCAGCAACGCGTGCAGCTGCCAATTCAGTTGCGGTCATTTGTTTAACACTTAAACGACGTTCCTCGTCGACGATATGAATATGCGTGTTACTGCCATTACTTGTTGATGATAGATCGGGGCAACCTAAAGCGATTAACTCGCTTAGCTCGCTTGAGGACATGACTCTCTACTTTTCAAGGTTAAATTTTATATGTGTGCAAACGAAATACTATGTACACCTTTAACAGTATATATCTTGCTGCAGATTGCAGAGCTTTTGTGGTTTTGTACGTTCAAAGGTTTCGTTTTTTTTTTTTTTTTTTTTGCTTTACTTGTATTAATATATATAAATATATATATGTATATATTCAAAAGTTCATTTGGAACATCGATCTGTTTTGATTTGATTGATTTAAGAAAAATAAAAAAAAAATAAAAAAAAGAAAGATGAAAAAAAACAAAACTTTTTGATGATTATCTAATCACTTGGCGATTTGTAAATTCCCTTTTTTTTTTATGCGCTCGAGAGATAGATTGCTTTCTTCAAACGATTTAAGAAATGCGTTCACTTTTCGCTAGTTAGACAAAAACTAAAGGTGTTCTAATGAGTTTCTTACGTTAAAACGAATAAAAGCGCAGCGTTTCTTTATCATCTACGCATGACAGCCATTTTGCTTAATCATTTCAATGTCAATATGCTTTCCTACTGCTGCTATCGATTAAGGCAAATTAATTGATATTGAATAAAAAAAAAAAATAAAATAAAGCAATAAACACAATCTTTTTTTTTTTTTTTCTTTGTAAATATTTTCTTAGTATTACTTTGAGAAAAAAAAAATTTTTTTTTTTATTTTTTTTTTTTTTACTTTTCTTTCATTAATTTGTTGGCACACGATCTTTTTTGATTTCTCGAACACACATTTCTACGTACTTTTAAACCGATTTATTAATTTGTTATTACGATTACAACTAAATACTACTGAAGATGAAGATGGAAAGAAACGGAGAGAAGCCTCGCCTCTGTGTGTATTCACATTAAACCAATTTGGCTTCGATCGTGGGCGCCATCTTTAATTAATATCTTCTTGGGTAAGAGAGGACAAAAAACTATTGTAAATTTTCAAAACACTTAACGAATAGGTAGCTTGTTGACAGAGAGATAATGGATGTATGGATGGATATCTTTTTCTTGTTTTTGGGGGGCCATATTATCGATTTTCCCCTTTTTAGTAAAATTTAAAGAAAAAAAAAATCAATGATATCATTTATTAAGAATAGCAGGATGAGCGGGTAAACGATTGACAAAGTAGTTGAAGAGGTTGAATTTAGGCTAACGACTAATGTTAATGTCTTTCTTTACCTTAAAAGTTTGTATATGTAATTACGAAGACGCGTCGCCTTAAGGGCAAGTAAGGAAGGAGAAAGTTTGTTCGAAGTAGACTTCTGGCCTTGCAAGTAAGGTATTACGATCACTTTTTTTAACTACCCCTAAGCACTTAAGGAGCCTTTATCTGTGCTCGCTAAAATTAAATGACACAAATAGAAGCACTATAGAAGAATATAATATGGCCCATCATGATGCACCCGACACCACTTCACCTAATACGGCAAGTGGTCGAAGAGGTGGTCCGCTTTAGCGATAGCCCTTGGACCAAAACATGTCGATTTGCCAAATTTCAACAAAATTACGACCTTCAGGGTGAACACAAGAAAGCAAGGCAGAGAGGCGGACAACCTTCGATTTAAAAAATGATCCTCAATCGATCGGCATAATTAAAAGTGGGTCCATTGCAAATCCTTTTGCGTGAAGTATGCGTCCGCACAAACTTGGTCTACTCCTTTATTACAAGTAGCGTAGGTTATAAATACTAGACAAGTCATGACACTTTGAACAGTTCAGTTATTAAAGCTTTAAAAAATGTCAATTTTATTGTCATCATCTAAAGTCATTAACCGAATGGTTAATGTATTATTTGCTTATCTCTTTCGAAAGCATTCACAAAACAGTATCTTTTTATGTAAAGTGAAATGATATTTTTTCATCATTCATCGATACAACTATCAATTTCTTTAATGGATGCTTAATGATAGATGTGTTAACTGCAGTTTGCCCTTGTTGAAAGCAGATCATTCGATCATTTCACAAGACGTTATTGAAAAGTAAGAAGAGCAATATATTACTGCGAGTCAGCACAATGTGCTTATTTAACCTCGATCTCTATTAATGCGGATTTAGTTTATTTCACGGAACACACGTCATGACAAAATATACGGGGACACTATCTTAAGATATTACATGTAGTCTGCGAGCATATGATTTTTGGTCGGCTAATAATGCTTTTCAAACACATTTGAGGAAAATAATAATAAAAAATGTTATTATCGCTAGTGTTTAATGTTTAGGCGAATTTTTGTGTTAAATTCAAGCAACAATTTTCATTTGAACGCATTTCTTAAAAAGTAGAAAAAAATACAATCAGCCAAGTGTAAAAAAAAAAAAAAATCTCTTTAATTCTGGTCATTAATTGTGTGGTAAAAAAAATATTTCGAAAAAAAAAAAAATTATATAAATATTCGTCTTAGGCTATTCTCTATGTATCCACCACCATCTCTATCTAGGCTTAATATATCAAAAATGTCAAAAAGGCCCAGGGTTTGGGGCCGTGCGGGATCATGCACATTTCGAGCTTTAATATAATTGCATATATATATATATATATATATATATATATAAAACGATTTTTCGATTCAATTTGGAATTTAATGACGAACAATATGTCATCAATATATATGTCAATGATGTTTTTTTCAATTTTCTAAAGTGAGTGAACCTAAGAAAGCTAACTTTTACATAAGTGAACCCAAGATGTTAAAATTTTCAATACAGTGCAATTTATATACAGCAACATGGGATCTTTAGCGTTTGAATTTCGATTCTCGGAAGATGACATATACACGACTGTATATGATCTATTTTCCCGGCTCCTTTCATGTTTTGACATGTAACAGACCAAACGATAAAACTAACATTCCGCGAAAAGTTGGTGGTGGCTACAAAAAGTAAGATACTAGAGAAGAAAAATGTTTGGCATAAAAAAAAAAAAAAAAACAAATGCAATAAAAAGCCATATTTTTAACATTATTGTAAATAATTGCGTTGTTTTCCTCCTTTTTTTTCCGCTTTCACGTTTCTTTTCTTTTTTCGTTTTTTTTCTTTTTTTTTCTTCTGTATAATGAAAATTGAAAACAGAATTCAACAGGCGGTGATAGATTTGAGAAAACTTATTTATTTTTTCACTTTTTATTTTGCTTTTTGTAAAAAAAAAAAAAAAAATAAATAAATAAATAGAAATAAAATGCAATAATAAGGAAGAAAGAAAAAAACGCAACTGTTCGGAAAATGAGAACACAAGCTGTTCGTTCTGTTTGCGTTGATATTTTTGATAAAAAAATGTATTATTTCTGTATTCGGAAATAAAAACAAAAAATAAATAAACACTGCCTGCCCTGCCCTGCCCGCCGACCTGAACACATTTTCAAATTTTATTAAATTATTTTCACTTTCTTCGTTTTTTTTTTTTTAATAGTTTTTTCAATTTTTTTAAAATAATTTTTTATATTTCACTAATAATATTTTTGTTCATTTATAATCTTCTTTATCCTTTTCTTGTTCTTGCGATTTTATAAATAGTTTTCATAAACAACTAAAAATAGTTGTTGATGATAATCATTATTATTATTATTATTATTATTATTAAACGCGGAGAACATTATGATTATTATTGTTTGATGATTATAATTATAAACGCAATCACACACACACACACACACACACACACATACGCATATAACATGCGTCGTGAACATTATCAAGGCACAAACAAATCATAAACATTTCGTATGGTTGAGCTCTCACGCAAAGTCTTACAGGGTCGTGTTTTCCTGTATGCCTTTCGTTATTATTTTTGTTGTTGTTGTTGTTGTTGCTGTTGTTGTAAGCGTTAAATAAATACATTCATATTCTTTTTTTAGATTTTTCCGTTTTTCTTAGTTTTAAAACATTTGTTGTTGCTTTCTTTAATGCCAAACATAATAATGCCTTCAAGTTAATAAAATAAATAAATTTAAAAAAAAAAAAGGAAAGAGAGGTGTATGTAACGCACGCACAAACGCACAAACACCCAATACAATATAAAATTATTTCTCAGTTTTGCAATCACAATTGATTTTTGTGTTATAATTGTTGTAATTGTAAAGTCAACGAATAGATGGTAAGTAGGGGGTGACCGCAGCTACTCTTGCTGCTGTTGCTATTGCTGCTATTGGTGCTGCTGCTGCTGCTGCTACGGTGATGTTTGTGTACTTTGTCTCTACTACTACACCAGACACAAACAAGCACATACGTCTACTAATATTGTATTATGTATTTTGTTGCATCAAACATACAGACCTACATTTAGAAAATTCGTATCTTAATCAAAGCACAATTCATTCGTTTTCAGTATATATATATATATTTTTTTTTTTTTAACACAATTGAACAACATTTTTTGTTTCCTTCATCGTAAATTTTTTTTCTTACGCTTTAGCAAATTTTTATACAATCATTTACTTTGACTTTTTTGCAACTTGAGAGAATTTATAGCATTTTTTTTTTTTTTGTTTTTATTTTCTTCAATTTTATTTTTATTTAATTTTTTCTGGGTTATATCACCGCTTTTTTAAGTAACCAAAGTAAAAAAAAAAAAGAAGGAAAATACTAAAAATGAAAAAAAATAATTTTTTTTTGTTTTTTTTTTCATAAATTTGTGTAAAATGCCATAAATTTTGTATGGTGTAGAGATAGATGTCCATAACGTAAGAAATGAAAAAAAAAAAAAATTCTATAAGTAGAACGCGTCGTTTCTTAAAAACCCACATATTATGCGTGTATGAGAAATACACCTGCGAAATTTTTTTTTTTTTTTTTTTCTATCTTTTATGAAATTATTATGAAGCGGAAAAAAGGAATTTCAATAAGTAATTGATTTCGAAGAGAAATATATTATATGTCGTCGCTAATGCGATTCCAAATAAATTATTTATTACATTTTGCAAATATTCGGTTGGGTTAGATTCACTTTTCCTTTTTAATTGATTTTGCAGGCGAAACTATGTATTTCAGGTAAATACCGGACACCGTAGCGTCACACGCTTGCCGTTAAATAAAAAAATTTCTTTTTTTCTTTTTTTTTTCAACCAATTACACGTCCGTATTGAGGAAACGCACCACTTGTGGATACCGCTGTTCACAATCGTCTAATAAAGTTTTCAATTTTATTGGGAAACGTAAGAAATAGATTTTTTTTTTTTCTTGTTTTCTTTCTTTTGTCTTGAAAGTGCCGTTTACTTCTCGGAGAAAAATCGCAAAATATTATAAAAAAAATAGTAAACATTACATTTTCAACACATGCCGAGTGTTCACGAAGAAGAGCGAAAAACATACAACAGCAGCAGCAACAATATATGGCATCAAGCTAAAGATCATTACAGAAAATTCTCTTTAAGAACTAATGATGATGCGCGCGCAGAAGCTTCCATTTTTATTAAGAGTTCGTAGTTTTGATAAATTTAGAAAGAACGAAATTTTCGAAAACTTTTTCAATTGCACAAAACAAAAGTAAAAGTAAAAAAAAAAAAAAAAAAAAAAAAATATAAATAAATAATGTGTTAAAGGTGTTCATCAAGACGATTTTTCTTAAACTAAACAGGAATTTTTGTATTATCAGTGTGCCCCCCAATAATATATCGACCAGTCGTTCGATCAATTTAAGCAACTTGGAGAAGCTGTAGAAAAAGAAAAGCTTTTGGCAATGCTTGTCGAGCTTTCATTAACCTCTTCGTAAAGAGAGAGAGAGAGAGAGAGATACATTTAAGAAAAATTGAGATGTGAAAGAAAAAGAAGAAGTTGCAGTAAACGACCGGAGAGAGCTAAGTAAGACATGATGAGAATATTTATCTTATCACTGTCTCTATCCCACTCATTTTATAAGTAGAAATTATTATAATCATCAGTTATCATATTCACACTGAAGAGAGAACAAAAAAATTTAAGGCTCAAGTTTTCCTAAACTATTTTAGAGATTTCTATCCTTTGCTTGCGAAATTCCTGAACATGAGAACTCACTCAATACAAGCCAATGCAGATAGATGGATAAATTTCTAATAATAATAGCTTTTTTTCCTTGTCTGGAACTAGCGGTAAAATGAAGTCCTATGTAGGACACTGAATGATTTAAATCGAAAGTAATTTTACAGAGAGAATTGTTTCAATTCTATATAACTTATGGAGAATTTGCAAGTGATGCCAAACTTTCGCTTTAAGAATAAAAGCAGTTGCGTCAATAGAGAATAAAGAGAACAAAAAAATGAAAGATGGAAGGAAAAAAAAAAAAGGAAATTTAAGACAGATATGGAGGAACTCACAGAAAGAAAACTAGAACAAGAGAGCGAAAAATTTCAATTATATTGTGAGTAAAATTTTTCTTTTTTAAAGAAAGCCTACCGTTTGCTAGGTGTTAAGTACTAAATGAACTATGGTTTTTAATTCGTTTGCCCGCATTTGTACTGTTTTCAGTACACGCCAAAACGACTTTGTACATTGAGCTTTATTTTTCTTTTTTTTAAGTTATGCGATGTAATGATGTGTACTAGCAATGATTTCCAAGCTGCTTAGCGTGGTCGATCCTTTGCTGAAAACTCCAATAAGAATGATAAAGGAATGAGGATCAACTTGCAATCAATCTTGCGATGAAGTCTTTCACGCTTAAATGATTCACAAAGGAAAGGAGACAAGCAAAACAAGTGCCCATGCAAATGTTATGTTTCGAATCCGTACATTTCTCTCAGATGATTCGTTATTTACTAATTATCATCTATTAATTAAACTTTTATAGACTATTTCTCCCTCGCTCAATATCAATGTCAAGGAATGTATTTACATGATTTACGAGTTCTTTTAACGTTCACTAACGATTAGTCACATATTTCCATGGACTATTGTGTCTCGATATTATTTATTAAAAAAAAATATGTAAAAAAATTTCGTGTTATCTACAAAAGCAATTAATAAAAATGGTATAAAAAAAGATTGTTTTTTTTTCCGAATCTCAACTTACTAAACCGTGGTTTTTGTATTGAAAGTATACATCAATTACCCAATCGCCGCAATACCGTTGAAAGAGTAAATCAGTCTCTAAAACCAGTTGATGAGCAAAGCTATTATTATTAGTCCGTGGCGAGGGACAAATGTGACGAGGCGTTTGATGTTCAAAGCGCCGGCTTATCGGCTTCTTCTCTTTTTTGTATGCCGCTAAGAACAATTGTTGCGTCGCACACTGTGAGGCTACGATATTTTCCAATTTTTGACGAAAATCCATTTTATATAATTTGCACAATTAAACACTTTACGATGGAATTAAATGATGCCGTGCGTTTAACTGTAGCGACCAATGTACGACGCGAAACGCGCTTTGTGTGCTTTGATGGCAACTGTCAAACAAACTAATTTTAATTGATTTTAATTAAAAGGAATGATTGCCAAAATATCACAACAACATCATGCATGATACATGAGAAGGAAAGAGCGCAACGCAACCATAAGTAAAATATCAAAAAAAACAAAAAAAAAAAAAGGTGAAATTTGCATTCGAAACGAATCGTTCACACCCGTCACACCATCTAAGTAGAAAAAAAACTTTTTAACTTATCTGAAATTAAAAATTTTTGATTGGGGGGATTTGTCTGAGCCGCTTCCGCTTCCAGAACTGTTCTATTAACATTTTCTTATATTTATCAAATGTCAGAACCGGAAAATGAAATTTGCAAGTGCAAGAATGAACGAACGGACATTGCCACACAAACTAGAATCTCACACACTCATACGTGTACAATTTACAAATGACGTAAAAAGAAATCTCATTCATCATCGTACGTACACAAATTTACGTTTACTACATCATGCACCGAAGCATTCACATCGTTAGTCAATTCATAAACCACCTAAACACATTGCACGTGCTGCGCCAAGATCGAATTGATGATAAAAGCAAATGCAATGAATTCATAGCTGCACTCACTAAATAGTCATCGTCATGATCAACAAAATATTCATCAACTATCCAATCCTCTGTGTATTGAGAAAATCTCACCGAACATAACCAAACTAAATCATCGACGAAATCAATTTTCTTTGGCGCAGGCAATTCACGCATTTTAATATAACACGGTATATGCGAACTTTCAAATTGATCCAATGTTACTTGTGATTTTTCCAAATAACGCTTAAAGAACAACATTTTTTTTTTTTTTTTGCTTTTTGTGAACTGTGTGACCTTGAAAAGAAAAACAACACTAAATAAACGGAAGTAAACCGTTCTAATGCCGATCAATACAATTCGACAACTGATCAATAAATAAGCGATTGATTTAATTCAATTAACCAGTGTGTAAAAAATCAGAAAAAAGAAAGCAAAGCAAAACATTGGCAATGAATTTCTGTTGAGAATAAAATAGAGAGGTAATCATCATTAAGGCTCATTGCAATTGTACAGCAAAAGACAAGAAAGGAAGACATTCATATAACGGCGAAGAGCTAAGGCGAATCTCGGTAACCCTTTTCTGCTTGGCCTACTAAAGTGAACATATGCATGACACAATTTGTTGCTTTCTGTTAAATAAATTTTTTTTTTTTTTTCATCGAGAAACAAGGATTTTCATCCCCAGTCTCGATCTTATAACGTAATGCCGTACACTCATAATAGTATTAGAATTTTAGGAAATTTTTATCAAAATTCATTTACTTTCAAAGCAATTTTTAGTAATTGAAAAAATTCGCATCATTGCCTTAATAAAGTGCTCCGTGTTCGGTTCGACTTGTCAATGAGATGAACGAGATTGGTTCACTTTTCTTATTAAGATGCGATTTAGACTGCATTGGGCATGCATTCTTCACACGTGGTCTCTTTTTCTCTTCGGGAGGAAGCGTAGGGGGATTCCGGAGATGGGCGGTTGAGCTTTAATGATCATAAGCTCATTGCGAGAAAGTGGATGGATTTGGCACTTGTGTGTGTCAGTGTTACGCTTCTTATTAAAAGCATTAAATGCCTCAAGCGGGAGACAATGCCACATTCTAAGAGCTAAGCTATGGAAAACAATCTTTAGAGATGAACACAGACGGTGTCAACAAACATGTTAAGACGATGCAAATATCGAGTGCAAACTACAAATCAAATCTCCCTGAAGCGAGTGAATGACGATGAGTATTGAAAGCGAAATGGACGAGAAGAGAATGCTAAAACATTGACAGATTCTTCTAGAATAGCAATAAAAACAAAAACATCTATATGGGTTGAGTGTTCTATACCTATCATCTAAGATGTTTAAATGATTTAGATAATTAATATGCAAATAAATAATAATAAAAAAAACGGGAGAAACGGATTTCTCGTAAATTATCGTATATATGTATATATATATGCTACAAAAGTTTTATATCAGATCGATATCAAGTAATTTGTTTTTCTAAGCTTCTTTTTAAATAAGTTATAAAAGGGAAAGGTAATCAAAGTTTTTGATATTTTTCAAATTGATTTAGATTTGAAAGCTTTTAAAAACGGAAGAAGAAGACATTGCCCTATTGACATGAAGCTAATAAAGCTTATATTGCGTCAATGTCATGTCCCAATAGAAATATATATATATATAGAAATTGAAATGTGTAAATGTCGAATGCGGAATGGTCTGGACTATGGAGAAAAAAAAAAAGAAAAAGAAAATCCAATCTCTGTGTGGATGGATCTCTTAATAACTTCTTTGAGCTAAGCGGGAAGCTGTTTTATTTACTTTTAAAGGCAGCATAGATCAAATCGTTTCCTAAATATTTTTATCATTATTGCTTGTAACTAACATAGATAAATATTTCTGAAAAAAAAAAAAAAACGCACTTAATGTGATGAAGACGACATCAATAAACTCAAATGTCATAGGATCATTATTGGGTAGACTTTGTCATAGAAAGAAAGCTATATTAAATTTTAATAGGGTTTCGATATTTTCGATAATGAAAATTCTCGCATTAAATATAAAATTGGGAAGATTTTAAGATAATTTCTGTGTACGAAAACAGCTCTATGTGTTGTATAGTTAACGACATGCATTTCCCGAAGTATTTAGAGAATAAGGAAAATATATAAAAGTATATAATAAATGAAAAACTCAATTAAACTATTCTTTAATTGCAGTTAAAATAATTTTTCATTCAATTGAAAAAAAAAAAAAAAATATCCCTACAAAATTTCCTGTAAATAAAATGAAAAGTTTTTACCTTAGAATGGGATCTCCGTGTATTACGTCCACTGTCACGTTCATCTTTGGCACGATCACGATGCCGAC